TTATCTTTTTTATCTTTATTTTATTTCTTTTGAAATAATAAACTTTTTTAATTCCTGTTAAATGATGATATTGCAAGGTAGCCTTTCAGTTTACGCCTATTGTTTAACATGTATGGCCTATTACGGCTTAACTTTGGGCTACTCTTGTGCTTGTCATCTAATAAGTTTATGAATTTACTTGCGAATCTGTAAGCACACTTAATGGTACTAGATACTGTATATTTTGACACTTATTTTATCATTATTAATATTTGGATGATTCGTTGCTGTAATCAACAGGTGCGATAGGCAAAACAATCACACTCAACCTTAGAAAATGCACCTAATAAAACATGTGAAATTCCACTTCTCTAGCATTGAATTATTAATAAAAAAATAAAACTTTGACCAAATTTTTTTGACTAATCATCAAAATCGATTATTTACTCATTTTTGTGTTTAATAATTATTCAAAAAAAAGGTCGAAATCTTGTTAGTATGCAGTCTGTTAAAATTTCGTCGTGTAACAATCTATACAAATTTGGATGCGTACATTTGTTGATCTAAAAAAAAATTTTTCTAAATGTCTGATAATGTTTTAGTTCTTGATAATGGTGCTTATAGCATCAAAGTTGGTTATGCTATTGATAATGAAGAGCCAAGGTACTTTTGTATAAATTACTTTTTTCTTCTCTTCTTCTCTTTAAAAAAAATCAAATTTATTTACTTATTTTTTATTAGTATAATTCCTAATTGTAAAGTAACAAGAGGAAAAGGTGAAAGAAAAACGTATATAGGAGATCAGATCAATAGTTGTTTAGATTATTCTGGTTTATATTATCGATTACCTTTCGAAAGGGTTTGTGATTTTTATGGTTTTGATCAAAATGAAAAAATCTTTTTTTGATTCATATAATATATGATAATATAGGGGTATCTTGTTGATTGGGAAACTGAAAGAGAAGTATGGGATAGAATATTTGATAATATACTTGAAGTAAGTTAATAATAAGGTTAATGTTGTTGATGATGAATAGTTTAATTAACATCAACAACAACAACAACAACAACAACAACAACAATAATAAATAATTTCCTAATAATTTTTATCAGTGTAATACACCAACTACCAACCTTATCATTACAGAACCATGTTTTAATCTACCAAATATCCAAACAACCTATGATGAAATGATATTTGAAGTATATGAATTTAAATCTTGTTTTAGGACAATTGGTACATACAATTTAATAATATTATTGAAAACCTTTAATTTAATATTAACAAAAAACCTTTTACTTGGTGGTGTAATAAAATAATATTAAAATAGCACCATGGTTATGCATTCAAAATGATATGACAATGTTGTTGCATCAAGATCATCAGAATTCTAATAGTAGCAATAATAATATTAGTAGTAATAGTAGTAATATTGGAAGATCTGAATGCATGTTAGTTATTGATTCTGGATATTCTTTTACTCATATCATACCATTTATTATGGGAAAACCAGTTTTATCTGCTATTAGAAGGTATCTTTTATACTATAAAAATTTTGGTAATTATTTTAATTATTTAATGATGATGATAATTATAAATCAATAATATCATGATATAATATTTTTATTATTTAAAATATATTAAGGATAAATATTGGAGGAAAATTTTTGACAAATCATCTGAAAGAAATAGTATCATTTCGGTAAATTATTTTAACAATTTGTGTGAAGAAAAGAAAAATTTTTTTATCTATTTTCTGATTTAATAACAACAATAATAATCATTACTATTATTATTATAGATATTGGAATATGATGGATCAAACTTATGTTATGAATGAAGTCAAAGAAACTTGTTGTTATGTTTCTAAAGATTTTTTAGGAGATCTTGAAATTTGTCGGTAATGCAATTACTAAATAAATAAATAATAGATAAATTAATATATAATTTGTATATTAAATCTTCAATTTTATTTTATTTAATATTGGTATAGAAAAAGCACAAGAAATAACCCAATTGTGCAAGAATATGTTTTACCTGATTATTCTAAAAATCCAAAGGGATATGTTAGGGTATGGTAAGGAATAATTATAGATATATTGATTAATTTATTATATTAGATTTAATATTCTTTTTAACATGCAAAAATAAAATATACTTTTTGAAAGGAAAGAAAAGCCAGTGGAAGAAGAAATAATTATTCAGATGAACAAGTCTTATACATGAACAATGAAAGATTTACTGTGCCAGAGATATTGTTTAATCCTTCTGATATTGGTATTATTTTAAAATAATTGATTTCATCAAATCAAAAAATTAATTAATTAATTAATTAATTAATTAATAATGTTGTTGTTAGGTATGGATCAAGCAGGTATACCAGAAGCAATTGTAGCATCAATTAATTCAATTAGCCCTGGTAGGATTTTTTAGGCATAACTATTTTTAATTGAATAACAATAACAATTTGTTATTGTGATAACTGACATCTATTAATGAGTTTTAGATATTTTCCCTTTTCAGGTAAACAATATAGATACACAAGGGCTATTCTATGAAAATGTTTTATTGGTTGGTGGTAATAGTTTATTTGCTGGATATAAGGAAAGAATGTAAACTATATGATTTATGACTATTTTTTATTATATAAATAATATTATTTATTATTTATATCTAAAATTTATATTTATATTTATATTATTAGTGAAAAAGATTTACGTGTACTTGCACCATCAGATTATGAAATTAAAATTGGAATTCCTGATAAGTAATTAAAATTAAAACTAAAATTAAAATAAAACAAAATTTTTTATTATAATATTAATTCTCCAATCAATAAATAGTCCAATCTCATATGCATGGCATGGTGGCTCTAAATTTGCCAAAACTAGCGAATTTAAAGATATGTCAGTCACAAAATCTGAATATGATGAACATGGAAGTAATATTTGTTTGAAAAAATTTGGTAAAGTAATGATTAATTGATAGTAATAATAGAATTGAATGGCACATCAAATAAAAGTAAATCAATAAGGTTTTTTATACATGACATGTTTAGCCGCAAAATTTTATTGGATGTGTTTGAAATCTAAGGATTTTAGAATACAATTCTGTGATTGATATGTCACGTTATCATGGAGGCTAAAAATTTACTGTTAATTGGTGCACTTGAGGGTCGAAAGTTTTAAGTTCAATATACACCCGACCTCCATCAGAACGGACTTTTTAATAATTACGTAAAATACCATAACAGCATTAAACAAAATTTATATCACAAGTCAGCTTAGAACATTATGTCACAAAGAAAGTTTAACGTCACAATTGTAATGCTTTATCACCCATTTAAAAAAAAAAATCATTCACATGTTACACACCCAAGACAATGTTTTGTGAATTTTTTCGATTTTTTGATCTTTTTTTGTATCGTGTGACGGATGACTGTTCGAATTCAAACAAATTGCATTTTTCGCGTTTTTTTCATTATATAATAAAATGGAACATGTTTACCTCAATAATATACATTAATTAAATTTGTATAATTGCATGCGTGAATGTTTGACATCTATTTGTTTTTAAACTAGCCTATTTCTGAACATTTTAAGCCAGCTCAAGGGGAATTAGACACAGGTTACAACAACTAAGAATTCCTTCAAATAATTTGTAAATCACACGCAAATTTTAAATGACTGGCGTGAAGCAGTCTGGTACAACTATTTACTTGAATCTTTAGATGGTAAAGATAAAATCGAAAGGAAGTAAATGAATTTATTACGAGTGTTGGAACCAAAAAAAAAACAACTATATTCTAAATCATCACTTAAGAATGCTATTGCTAGTATCAGTTGACACCTCAGAAATGTCAAAAAAGATTGGAGCTACAACTTATGCAAAATAAACAACCCCAAAAGAAGTTTTAAAAGACAAATTAGTCACGGGAGAAATCGGTTGATTTTACTGCCAACATTCAGGACATGAAAAAAGTAAAAGTTGGCGATACTATTCTGAATTTAGATAATAATTCTTTGCCACTGTAAGGATACTAAGAAGCAAAACCCAAACGTTTATTCTAATTTATATCCTGGCAATCTCATTTCCGGATTTTCATCAAAAGTACTTTCTCCTTTTCAAAATTAAATAGTATTTTAGATGGACAACAAAAAACAAAACTAGGCGAAGCTAAACCATATGATACTTTAACTAATCAAGAAGTTAAATTAATATTGGATCACAATTTTTGCTCTCCAAATAATCTAACTGGTTTACTTTATCGTGGATATGTTTGCTTGGTTGTACTACTAGAGATGGTGAACAACATTCTTTGCTCATTTCACGATTTGAGGACACAGAAGATGGTTTTATGCTAAAAAAGTGTCAGATCAAGGTAGTATCGAAGGAACGACAGACATCTCTAAAGAATTATTAATTGAAGTTGAATCGCCAAGAATTGATCTTGATGGCTCTAAAGCATGGATCAAAGTATCCATAGCAGCAGGATGTTGTTTTTCATTTACTTCTTTATACGCACGAATACCTTGTATGCTTCTACAACCTGTTGTTCAATTTATTCGGAATTCGTAATCTTATCAAGTGGCATAATATAATTATAATTTTTGCAAAATTCTTCAAATTTAGTAACCCAATTTCGAGTTGATTTTTCAGTATTTGAAATACTTTGAGGAATAGAATCAACTGGTAAAGTAGAAATCGAAGCCTCGGAAACTTTTTGGGAAAGGAGCAAACTTGCATTAGTAAAATAGGTTGAGATGCTTGTTTGGGGTGCAAAAGGTAAATTGTAATTTTTTATTGTAAGCAAAAAAAAGACTTTTATGTAAAATAAACTTTTTTCATCACCGGCGTTAGTCTCCGTGAAATAACCATTACATATTAATATGTTATCTTAAAAATAATAAAATAAAAATAATAATAATAAAGATATAGAAGAATAACATTTCATTCAAGCTTCCAATTACTTTTTATCTTTCTTTTTTAGATTGAAATTGGTTAATGTAATCAGTCTCCAACACAATTCTATCCCAAAACCTTTCCATGCAAATCTTGAAATTCATAGTAAACTGATTATGTGTGGTGGTGACATTAAATTGTGTGTTAATTTGATAATGAATCTTTCCCAATTCAATAAACCAGAGATTTGTTTTTTCCTCAATTTTTAATCCATTTTTTTGGTATTATTATTGTCATTACAATAATCAAATGTTGGGTTAATATTAAAAAGTTGTGGCAAGAAACCTTCAAAGAATGGTGTCAAAGTTGTAAAATCATTTGATTTCTCTAATAAGCTCAAATGTACCAACTCAAATGGAATGTTATTCTTATAAAATTCATTGTAAACAAATATGATCAGTTCAAATGCACAAGTGGTCATTTTTTCTGGTGTTTGTCTTGTCAATCCAAGTCTTGGATATAATTATATCATTGAAACATAATCTCGTTACAATTGAATCAGGATTGAAATTTTTTAGTACCCATTTGTACAAATTGCTACTTAATTTCAATGTTCTTATATCATGTGGATGATATTTGTAGCCATAAGTACAGTAATAATCAATAATTTTTTTGTTGCTTGTCAAATTGATATTGTTGGCAAGTTTGGAAATTTTGTTCCTAGTAGTATCACCAAAATAATGGTAAACTAGAGCTCTAAGATAAACAGGTTCTAAATCATTTTCTTTAAGTTAAATCTTGAGAAAATCTAAAACTTGATTTTTTTTTCGAATTCCTGTTGATTTTAATAGCTTCCACAATGCAATGTTCAACAATTTCGATTTTCGATCGGTTCCTTACTATTTGGAATGCTTCTATAAGCAAGTCTCCAAATTTGGTAAGATCTTGTTCATAGAAAATAAAATATCTGTCATAACAGATTTTGTCAATTTGAATCCAACCTTGATAAATTGTTGTATGCGTTCAACAAAATCATTTGTAGTTGGAGGAAGAAGACAATCTTTATTTTTTGAATTTGGATATATCAAAGAATCTTGTAACACCAAATTATTGACATCTATACATATGTCAGTGTAACCCAATTTCTGGATAAATTAGTATTGCTCCGGCAATTATGTTTAATTGCTCATTATTTTCAAAACCATCTTTGGCTAGATATTTTTCACAATTTATTATTTGCATTTCTATTTGGTATTTGGTATTTGATTGTGTGTTCAAATAAAATCGTTGGTCTTGGGGGAAAAGGTACAAATTTTTTGTTAAGTATAAGATCCTTAATTTCTTCAATGTTTTCTTTTAATTTTTCTGATGCTAAATCTATAGCCAATTGTCCACCTGTTAAATAATAAAACAATTCAATATCATTCCCTCTTAATGGAAAATCCAGACCATATCGTCCCTCGGCCTCAATTAACAAATAGCTGAATATATCTAATGGAATATTCGAAGCCCATGGATTTCTAAAATAATTTTGTGTAACTTTGAACGCGTTATTTGCATTATTATTATTGTTATAGTGATATTGATGTCATTACTGATTGTTAGTTCAATTTGACTATCATCTTTTCTCCCAAACTGTTGTCTAAAATATCTAGATAAATTCACTTTTTCTTCCGTGATGAGAAAAACGACCAACTCCTTTGAGATAAAATTCTCTCTGAATCGAATTGCATGAAATAAGACATTTGCTCTTCCGCAATTTTGAATTATCCACTTTGCTCTAATTTTTGAGTTGGTTGACATTCCGTACCATTTTTTATTGAGTAAAATTAGGGAAAAAGGCTTGGGGTGGATGTGAAATTTTTTTCTTTTATCGTGTCGGGTAATGAAACCATGATTTGATTTTTGATTTTTTTGATTTTTTTATTTTTTTGTTTTTTTTGTTTTTTTATATGTGCCTTAAAATTCTTTATTTCTCAATATTTTTTCTACGGATGCAATTAAACCTTTTTTTGCCAGTTATACCAGAAATTGGCCAACCATACCTCAGGCTTATCTAAAAGATGATTTTGTTGGTGGGCGTGATATTGTGTCGGTTAGGTGGATTCGCGTGATAAATGAATACTGCGCCATATTTTCCATTTCTGAAAAAAAAATATATCAAAATAATGTAAAAAAAAATTTGGAAGTTGGTCGATTGTAATCATTTAATAGTGACGTATCACTAATTAATTCATAATAATAAGTGAATAAATTAGTTCCAAAAAAATCAATAAATTCTTGTTCCTATTCAGTGATTATTATTCATTTCTTCATTCCACACATTTAATGCCTTGCTTGAACTTTGTGCTATCAATCCCTTAATAATAATACAAAAAAAGTTATTCCTCGCTTAAACATATAAATAAAATAAACATGTATGAAAACGTGAATACCTTGAGTGTTAAATATTTGAACTACAACTCTGCTAAAACCAGCACCGTTGATCACATTCGTGTTAAAATTGGAAAATATAAAAAATTCACCTGCGGCTCACTAGGTGTGCCTTTCATAAACAACGCCACATCGTTGTTTATTTACAGTCTAATATTATGAAATAAACACCTGATTAATCATTTTCAACATTTGGTTTTGCTTTAGAAAATAACTAAAATAAATAAATAATGAATACCTCAACTAAAGATTTTTTCAAGCTATCTGATAAGTATCTATATGATAAAAAAAAATGACGGACTATTGAAGCTTTGATTAAAGACCTTTGATTTGTTGTTAACGTAAAATAATGTTCTTGATGAGTATTTTTATCCAAAGTATTAAAATATAAAACTACTTTGTCAATTAACAATTAATCATTTAATTTAATTAAGACACACAATTACTTAATTAATCACTAAACAACCAATTAATTGAAAAGATTTGGCCAATATTAATTATTTACTAATCACATGTTAAACATATTAAACATAAAAGTTGTTGAAAATACTATTATTTTTTTTATGTGCATTTGTGCAATTGATTTAAGAGATATGATATCCAAAAAGTAACTTTATCAATTAAAGAATAAGAAATCAATAATAGTTTGTTAGAATTTATACAAATATCTGAAATAATGAGCATCCAAAATATAAGAACATCCAAATAATTACGAATATTCGAATAGTAATAAGGGTTAGAATTACAATCAATTCAAAGTTATATCCACGGAATTGGAAAATCATAATTTATAGAAATCTATACCACATTCCCTTCATACCATGTGCCATTAAATTCAGTAGCTATTAGAACGCATATTTAATTATTTGAATTAAAAAAAGGGTTAACCATCAAAGTGCATGCACATAATGAAATTATATCTATAAAAAAGAACTTGAGCCATGCTCCAAAGGCCGCTACTTGGCAAAGCCTATTGCTCACCCAATGTGTTAAGATTCATCTATATATCGTCATGTAAAGCAAGAAGAGATAGTCGTCATTCCGAGACGCGTAAATTTCAATATGTGACGTCCACAGGATTTGCGAAATACGTCACGAAATACATCACGAAATCCGAAATTGATGATACTTACCCAATAACCAGACATCCTGTCTCGGTACACTACCTCCCTCCAAGTACCATCTAAGATCTGTAAAAACTGATGCACTTGCTAAATTAGGAGACGGACATTGAAAGTGACGAGAAGAGCGATGGAGACGTGACCGTGACCAACAAACTCCTTACTATTTGAAAAACAACTATTTTCAAAACTACACAATAGATCCAAAAACTCGGCTCGAGCTGAAGCTCGAAATTTTGAGTTCAAGTCGAGCTCAATCCAAGAAATAATGGGTTAGAGTTTTTCGAGTCGAGCTCAAGCCAAGCTTGAGTTTGATGTTACATAAATTTTTTTAGTAACGAATGATTTATTCTGATACTTTTATTTTATTTATACACATTCAAGTTTTAACTCGAGTCTGCTCAACTTAGAGAATAAAGCGAATAAAATGAATGATCTGAATGATTCAAATAAACGAATAAAACGAATGATTTGAATAATTGAATGAAACGAATAAAACGAATAAAACGAATAAAATGAATAAAAAAAAAACGAGAAAACGAATAAAAAAAACCAAATATAGCGAATAATTCGAATAAACGAATAAAAACGAGCAAACGAATAGGAAATTCCTATAAACCGATAAAAAAAAATGAATAATTTGAATAAAATAAAAACGGATTGTTCGAATAAGAATTTGTATTACAATAGGAACTCTAGATCAATTCAATAACAATAAGGATTTTTTAAACGGTTTGCATTTTGAGCAAACATTGCATTGTGAAATTTTATACAGTCGTTTCAACGAATTATAATTAAATTCGCGTTACTATTATGATTTTTAAAAACATAAAATCCATTGAAACGTGAATAGTAAATTTTGGCATAACGAATTTTAAAGCAATTTTCTTATTATTATGTTTGACTATATCAATATACATATATTCCAGAACCTAAAAGCATTTTTTATTAGAATCAGATATTAAAACAAGAATCGATCCCACTTGAAATTTTCGGAATTTTTTAGTCTGTCATAAAATTATTTATGATGATTTAAATGTTCTAAAATTCAAGCATGTTTTAAGCTTCAATTATTTCAGTGATCTGAAAAATCGTGATTTTATAAAAAAATAATATTAAATT